AACTTGGAGGCAGGTGAAAACTAGTGGTTTCAAGGGTTTGTGGGGAGGCTTGTTAGAGTTAAGGTACAAGAAGGTGCCTCTGAACACATGCTGAGCACAGAAATTTGTTTTCACCACTAGAAGCTTATAAACATGCATATCTACTTTTCCTCTACAATAAGCTTTCTTCTACTTCTGCAGCCTTGGTGATCTGTTGCAGATCACCCAGAGATCTTCTAGTAGATCCTGATCTACTTTTGGTCCACCTCTGATCTAGTACCTGGTCTGATTGGCAGTGAAGAAGGAGATGCAAGTGCCTGAATCTGGAACCTTTTAGTATGCAAAGCTCACTGAGCTGTAGGCGTTTCCCCCACAGTGACTCACTGACTAGAAAAGATGGGAAGTTTGTTCAGCAAAGCAGCTTGTGTTCAAGCACAGCACCTACCAGGATGTGAATGAAATATTTCCTTACTCCTCCTTAGGTTGTTCCTGATATGTCAGAAAGCTAAATTAGTACCTTTACAGGTTATGGGTTCAGGGAAGGGAAGGGAAGGGAAGGGAAGGGAAGGGAAGCTTTCAGTTTTACCTGTATGCATTGAACCAATAGGACCTGATGCTATTTTCAGTAACTATTGAAAAGTTAGGTAGCTACAGTTTGGTGTTTTGATTGCTTGGAATGGGAGAGAAGCGTAATATGTAGGCTGGGGGAATACGGACAGACCTGTCTTGCACTTGGTTGACCCAGTTCAAAATGAGACAGAACTTATGTATTAGACAAGTAGTTCCTGAAACCAAGAGAACTACAAGAGCCTTGTTGAGAAACTGGCTAACTGAAGCTGCAATTCTACAAATCTTTACTTGGAAGTAAGTCTCACTGAACTTGGTAGTAGTAGGAGATTCTTCTGAGTAGATATGACTGGATTGCACTATAGGTCTACTTTGAGCCCAAAGTACCTCTTACAATTGAGGAGTCTACCTACTATATCTTCTTCATGACTCCCTGCTCTGAGCTTTCATCCTCCGCTGTGGTTGGATAATTCTGCCACATCTGTTTATCAGAGGTGAATAAAGCATTCCATCACATTCAGTACCAAGGAACAACAGTGCTACCTTCTCTCAGAGGAGGCACAGCCAGAAGAATGACTTGTGCAGAAACACAAAGGTGAGCCTATCTGAAGTAGTTCTTTTATACCACACCATCTAAGAGCAAAGCTTTTTCAACGAAGTGTGCTGTCAGCTTAAATTCATTGTGCCTTGGCTTCTGGACATTTGGAAAACAGATTAGACCAACTAATATAAGCTATTGGAATATGTAAATCTTCTTTGTGGAGAAAACAGATACTCCAAGTCTCACAAAAAGTGAAATTGGTGTAATACCTTTATTAGACCAACCAAAATATCACAGATATGCAAGCTATTTTGATCTCCAGGTGCAGAAGAGGACAAGAAAATATTCTGCGTTGATGGAAAGTCATGGTACCCACATGTTCAGAGTCCTAAGGCAGAATGGGGGAGGAAGGGATTACAGACATTTCAATGAGGCTGAGCCTTGTTTAGTTATAGGTAGGACTTGGCTGGAGCTGCTGCTAGCGAAATAAAGGGGGAAATGTTGATCTCCATTTTTTAAGTGTTCTCAGAAGTGCTTTCTATCTGGACAAAACATAGGCTCCTTTTTATAATATCTTACTTCATCTGAAGAGCTTGAAAGCATGCACAGTTTTAATTATTTTTATTGACCTAATAAAGTCATTACATTAATATGGGTTGTATAATTTTACTTATGATCAACAGATCTTTATTTTTGAGGGGTGAGACTGGAGAATTTTGATTTTAGCCATTCCTTTGTGGGACCCTACAGTTGAAGATTATATGACACCAGAAAATAGGACTTAATTCTTTGAGGGTTCATCACCTCCAACTACTAGATAAAGCTACCCAATTTGACTTCAATTGACTTCTGTGTTAAGGCTGCCCATTTTTGTAGTTCCCTGGTCAGAGGAGCTCACTTGCTTAGTCAGGGAGAAAAGGAATCTGATGTCATAGGTCAGGTTTGCCCATCTTGCTAACCCAGCATTCCCCAACCTAGCCTCATCCAGATGTGCTGAAATACAGCCCCGCAATCTGTGATGCTGAGAGTTGTTGTGCAACACAACAGGAGAACACCAGATTGGGAAAGGCTGTGCTAACCCATGGTTTATTTAAATGGTGATTTTTTTTCCCTACTCAGGGTTTGTATGGAAGACAAGGACTATAACTGTGATACATTCTCTTGATCCCTGGGTTGTTTTCCCCCCACCTTCTTTGCTCAAGCCCAAATGCCTTTGCATGACTTTAGTACAGGCAAGAATTCTCTGTGTCAGCTACCTACTTATCATGGGTCTTTTCCACACATGAGGCACATCAGCTGTTCCTGGTACTGCTTCTATCTTGGTGAAAAAAAGCTGTCTTCCTATAGAGTAGCTGGGGTTTTGTTTTGTTTGCTTTACTGCTTCTGCATGTTGCCTCCATAGCCTGGCAGAGCAGCCCATCAACATATCACAGTTGCATGTCTTCATGTAGTGACAAGCTAGCAATACTGGCTGAGAATCAGCTGTTACAGAACCTCTTTCTGCATTGTTGGTTGTGCACAAACCAGGGTTAGCATGGCTCCACTTGGACATTACTGCACAGAATTCAATCATACTGAAGGTTAGCATTATGTACAAGCCAGGAGTAGTGTTCTACAGCTTAGGCTGAACTGGTCATGTGATAGTTCTCTCCATCTACCAAATCTACTTTTCATAGCATTTTCCCAGATGGAGGCTGAGTTCTCAAAAGCCTACTTATATTTTGGTTGCTCTAATAAAGGTATTACACTAATATGGATTTTGGAACTCTTCTGGATTAGTTAATGTGCTATTTTCCTGTTGCTTGGCTTATGAAGAAGGTAGAGGGGTGGGAGAAAGAAAGTGGCAACATTTTTATGAATAATAAGGCATAGTCCCTTTTCTTCCTTTTGAGATCATAAATAACTTGACTGGAGAGTGTATCATGCCTAGGTTCAAATCCCATCTCATATCCCATATATTTTTAGAAGGACCATGTCTTCTACTTGAAGCAGTTTCTGACACCTCAAGCATCCAACTCAAAGGTGCTTTTGGGTGCAAATGTTGATGTTTCAGTGCTTTGTATTTTGCTACATTATTATTTTGTAGCCACTTCGAATTACCTTTGAGTTAAAGTGAACTTGAGCCTCTGCCCAAACTAAAGATTTTATTGCTGCCATGCCTGTGGTGCTGTTTACCTTCCTTGTATTTATTTTCCAAGATAACTTTTAACTCATTCTTCTCCCTAGAGGATTTAATCCCTCCGAGGAATCCACATCCACAACAATGGGCGGTTGGGAATCATATCTTTCTTTCCTCAAAACAAAGAAACCCCCAGCCCAAAACCTCCCATTCGCAAAAAAAAGTTTGCTTGAAACAAGGTCATTGTATATGTCTTAAACCAGGTGGACAAGTAGACATGGAGGTGCACCATTACATCGATAATAGCAGATGGTTAACTACATAGTTAACTACAGAATAGCAGTGGTTGACACTTGATTCAGCACCTACTGCAGCTTCTGCAGTACAATGGAATGGCCATCACATTGCTGTGCATCCTGAGCTAAGGTCTCAAATTACATTGAAAAGCAAGATGATAGCTGGGTTTGGTACACTGGCATTAGTTAGGTATGAAGTCCAGAATGACCAATAGCACAACAGTATTATATGTATTTATCAATGCCAGTGTTGTCTGAGTATTTTTTTTACCTAGCCTAGCCTTATAATTAGCAAGTTGTTTATTCACCTACTGACTAGGAATTCCACATAGGCAATGCAAGTGCATCTGGAATTCCTTCCAGGTAAGTGGATGGCCAAATGAGGGGCAGAGAGGTGCTCTGTTTCTTTGTCAATACTTTTCTATTTTGTGAACCACAAAGGGAGCTTCATCTGTGGAGTAATAATAAATAAATGAAGGCTCCTCTGTGGCCAGAGTAGAAAGGGGGGGCTTTGTCAGACAGCTACACTTCTAGGTGGAAATAGTTTTTATGCTTGGTGTGTGTGTGTTTGGTTGTTTTACTCGTAACAGGGGTCCCCCTTATGAAGAATAAGGAGGTAAATAAACAATTTTTAGTCAAGTCACTTTTGGGGGCTTAATACAAAGATTATTCTACTAAGCTTGTACTTGTACATTTGTACAGTTCTGGATTGCTTCACAAGATGGAAATAGGGTGAAAACCAGCACACTCTCACAAACTACTCATGATTTGTTTACCATAAGTTTGTGTGAATCAGGCTTATATTTCTTCATTATCTCAGCATGACAAGGAATTTAGAATGTTAAATATAGTGGGCTGAATGTCTTCAAAACTGAGCATGCAACACTGTGTGTTAAAATTATAAAGCAAGACTGTATACTCAAGTTCTCATTACAGTTCAGACCAATCTAATTTATGCGAAGAGGTATTGAGAGCACACATAACTCAGGAGCATAAATGTCTTGCTGCATCAGATCAAGCTCTAATCCAGCAATCACAAGGTTCTGGGGCATCCACCAGAGGTCCTGCTTTAGTTTCAAAGATAGAATTATTTATGGCACTTTTAGGCCATTGATAGGTAGAAGATGCAAGGCCAGGAAAAGGAGGTGTGCCACCCATTGCATGGTTAAACTATGGCTTAGGGTTCACCATCCCCTATAAAATGGGTTAGACAGATTTATGAACTACAGGTCATGGGTTCCAGCCTAACTTTCTCTGATGTGCAAGATTTCTGTGAAAGGGTTGCTTTTTGTTTTACACAGGGGAACAATCATGCATACTATTCTCTACCTGTATCTTGAATGATTCAGTGTGCCAGATATGTCAAGACTTTTACAGCAGTAGAAATATTTGCAGTAGTAGTGCTAGCAAGTAAGGCTGTGTTAAAGTATAATTCATAAAATTTATGGTTACAAACCTTATTTTTTGAATTCAGTATATGCTTTTTAATTTTCATTAGGTTGCCATGTCTGCCAAAGCTATTTCGGAGCAGACAGGGAAGGAGTTCTTGTATAAATACATTTGCACATCCTCTGCTATCCAGAACCGCTTCAAGTATGCCAGAGTAACACCTGAAACTGACTGGGACCGTCTAATCCAAGAACATCCCTGGCTCCTGACTGAGGTTAGCAAGAAATATTCCAGGCTCAAAATGATTCCAGGACATAGGACAGTTTTGGTACAACTGTTAATGCTATTGCTATTGTGCTAGAATAATTTATAGGATAGTGCAGCCCCCAGCCCAATGTCCTGATTTGTGGTGGGTTGGACACTCCACACCATATCCTACCTCCTGGCCTGGGAGAGGAATTTCCATGTTATCTCTGATCAGAAAGGAATCTCTCTCTCTCTCTTTTTTTTTTTTTTTTTTTTTGATCAGAGATAACAAGGGATGTCCATGCACTAAGCTGTAACACTGACTCAGTGTAACAAGAACTTCAGGAGCTGGCTCTTGCAAATCCCAGCCAAGTTCCAAGGCTCCTCAGTTAAGATGTGAGCAGGCCGGGAACATGGTCTCCATCTTACCTGGTGCTTGCAGGAGGCAGCTCTGGCAAGCTCTGGCCAAGATGAACCTCCCCATCCCAACTGAGATGAAAGTGGCTTGGGAAAGTGGTGCTCAATGTTTGGAGGAAGGATCTGTCTCAAGCAACTGTAGAAAGAGGGGAAAATGTGGGCAGGGCACCACTCGTGAAGTCACAAGAAGGGAGAAGATTCAAGAATTCAAAGATTCAAGAACCATAACAGATTGCTCATGCTATACAGCAGTTTAGTTATGTTCTTGATTGCACCCCACGGAGTATTGCCCATAAAAGCTCCGACACCTAAGTCCTGATTCACATATCCACACAACAGTAGGGCTGATGGTTGAAACGTGGCCTGAAATAACAAGCCTGATTTTGATCAAACAATGTGATGCTCATGGTTAAACATCCATGAGTTTGGAAAGAACTCTAGCGAATTGGAAGTCCAAACTGAGATCCAGTCCCTTAGCTGCTGGCACGGTCAACTTTTTAAAAAGAGAACTAAGATACAAATTTTTAAAAAAAGAATGGCATAGTCATCTTGAGATGAAATAGGCATTGACTTATATTATTAAATATTCACTTTAAAAATTATTGTTGCTGTTAGAATAACAAAAATTCTTGGATCATCAACAGGCTTGATACTTGTGTTGCTTGTGAACCAAATTAGTTACCTGTTAATTTCAATTAACTTTTAAAAATGTAATGACATTTCATATCTATGTTAAGTAACATTTTGGTAGATGGAGATGATTTACTGAAGAAGTTTTCTCTTTGGGCTTTTATCCTGGAACTTGATATCAGCATTGTGGCATCTTCATGAAATATTTGACCATAGTCAAATACCAGGTGCTCAACTGGCAATACCAACCTGTCAACAAACTGGGATGGTGTTGCTTTATGTGTTGTTGATTGTGAATGAAAGTCAATTGTGCTTTTTACTGACATGAAATCCTACATTCTCTGGAGACAGAAGGTAATGCCCAAGATGCCCCTTCATATGTACCATTTTGGTTGGTATTTTCTCTTGAAAGGTTTTGGGGTCCTTCTTGTCTCCCCTTTTCCCCAGTTCCTTAGTTGTGCAACTAGAGTTGCAAACCTGAGACATCCTGTCCCCAGTTCCTTTTTCTTATTTGTTCTTCTGGCTGGCATCCAGTTTAATCACATTTAGCTGCTACACAGTCCCATTTTTCTTGCTGATGGAAGACAGCTGTATTGGTAGCTAATTAAATACTCGGCACTTAATTCTGTGAGTCACTTGTTGGCATGTATCAACAAAGAAAATATAGAACTCCACGAGCCTTGCCAGAAGGCAGCAAGGGCTCTGGGTGCTCTTTTCATTGAGTAAGAGTCTTTTAAACACGAACTAGAAAAATATTTTCAACTCCTTAAGTGCTGGTATAAATGTTTAGGGTTGCTGTTAGGTAGGGTCATTTGCCTGAACTGCCTGCAAATGACTGGGCGGGGAAACAGTACAAAATCAGATTTGGGAGTGGGCAAATATTAGTAATAGTTTATTCAAACATGTCTATCATACTGAAGACTAAATTGCAAAATTAATCTATGCTGAACAAATAGAAAAGGAAATTTTATGCCAAAGCATGTATATTATGTTAAGAAAACCTGTAAAATTATGCCAGTTGAGCAATGTATATCTGGATCCCTCCCCTTGTATGTATTCTACTTTTATTGGTCTGGGGGATGAATACAGGGTGCAGAAATTCTGCCCAGTGGTGAGAATCTGACTCAGTCCTCTTCCCACTATTGACTTCTAAGACTGTAGGCAAATGTGCATGCTTTAAAAAGAAAAGTGATAGGCCTGTGTGTGGGCATGCAAAATGCTTTAGCAAAGAATAGGGCACATTGATTAGGAATCATGGAAAATCTCTGAAACTTGTATATTGGGATAGATTGGTCCCCTTGGCCACTGGAGTCCCACTGCCACAACCACATGGAAGGAATAAGGCCTCCTAATTCTGGTGTGATTTCACCTGAGCAAAGTCGCTAGAACATGTGCTACCATACTTGCAAACTCCCACCAGGAAGCAGAACTTTAGGGACATAGTTGTTCCAGTCTGTACATTACTTCCACTATGTGTCTACATGGAGAACACTTGAGTGTCTGAATTTTCTGAGAAATGGACAATTGATTTACAAGTTGCATGTATTCATCTGTAAAGCTAGTTTTGTACTTTTAGGATTTTCCTTGTAAAATTCTAGAGTCTAGTAGTGAAGCCTGATCAGCTGATAAAACGGCGAGGCAAACTTGGATTAGTGGGTGTGAATCTCAATTTGGATCAAGTGAAGGCTTGGCTGAAACCACGTCTTGGACAAGAAACCACTGTGAGTATTGTCAGTATTTCTCAATTCAATCCGGTTTGCTGGATTGCTGTGATGCTAAAATCCTGCTCGGAGCTCTTCCAGAAGAAAGACAGGGCATGAAGCATGGCAGATATATGATCCTAAAATCTCAGGGATGGCACACATTTTATAATTAACATGGCAGTTACTGTCTCCTCTTTTAGGCTAGGTATTTTCATTGCAGTGTTATACTCACCCATGAGTATTACACAACCTGCAGGGAATGCCATGATGAAACTGTTCTGGTGGGCAGTGCATTGTGAAGGCCACTAGTTTCAGGAGGAGGGAAGCAAAGTGGCCAGTGCTTGGGTACGGAATGTGGAGGGGTGGGGAGATAGAGTTATGGAGAGGAGGAGAGGCCAGAAGGAGATGGGAGGAAAGCACAGTGACCAGGAGACCACAGTGTGACCAGGGCAGTGGTAGTAGGAAACAAAGACCCAAAAGAAAGGGAAGGGAAAGAGCAGAAGAGAGGGGGACATGGGGAGGAGTAGGTCTAGCAGGTCACAGGGAAAATGGGGTGTGTACGAGAGAGAATCTAATCATTTATTTATAACCACCTGCCAGGCATCTGGGGCAATGTAAAATCCAAGAAGCAAAGAACAAAAGAGTAAAATGGTGTGAGAGAAGGAAGAGGGTGCACACACAAACAAAAGGCACAACCAGGCAAATAATCATTCAGATCTAGTAAAACACATCCTGCTGGATTTACATAATTTCTACATGGGATCCCTCAAACCACCATTGCATCACTTCTGTCTTCTCCACAATGAAGCTACGAAATGCAAATTGAGTGCTGCCATGGTACAAAATCATAGATCTTCGTATTTACAACAGATCCCCTCAAAATTCCCATCAGATCATAGGCCACCATGTGTCCACAAAAGCCTTCTCAGTTTTGAAGGTGGTTCTGTTGGCACCCTGTGTAAAAATCATGAGGATGCAAGAAGATCACTGCTTCAGATCTACCTTTTTGTGCTATGACAGCATTGGCAAGTGCTGGATCTCTAATTTCTATAGATGTTTACTGTAAGACACCAATGAATGTTAGCTTTCATTTGATAGTGGTTTAGAGAGTGCCTAACATTAAACAAAAATGGAAGTTCCAGAAGAATTAAAATTTTTGCTCTAGATCTGCCTTGTACCCAGACACCATGGAAAAGCCAGGAATGTATATGTGTGCTTTTTGCCCACCCATGGAGAAAGTGAGGAGATAAGTTGCTCACTGGACTTCCACATAATGCAAATGCATTCATGGGCCCCCAGAGATTGGGAACTGTTGGCTAGACACTTGTGTTGGTTGCTACTTCAGAGTATGCTTATTGGTATGTGTCTTATTTTCCGCAGATTGCTAAAGCTAAAGGCATCCTAAAGAACTTCTTGATAGAGCCTTTTGTTCCACACAAACAGGTTAGTTTTGATTGTATGCATGCCCTGAGAGGGATGGATCTCTGTGTGTAGAAGTAACATGGCAACAAGACTGCCTGTGTACATCTTTGTTGCAGTTCCTATGCATTCTAACTGCGGACCTCTCTTATTCCTTGAAGGGGCCCTGTTGAAAGTGAGGGGTGGAAGGTTGCCCTAGCTAAGCCTGGTGATGCTGAGAGTTGAAGTCCAACACATCTGCAAAGTACCACGTTGTCATAGGGAGAGGATTACTTCCTTTCAACGGCTCTTTGATTCTTGGCTAGTGTTATTCAGTTCTTGCACCCCAGCTGGTTCTACTAGCTGGCATTGTGCTTCCTACTATTCATTGTAGTCACAGGTAGTCAACCTGGGAATCAGGCTGTGGGCCTGATTGTAGAACTGATAGATAGTGCTAATCTGAGCAGAGTTTGGACCTGATGGCCTTTTAAGTTCTATGATACTATGAAAATTTTTACTAGCTGAGGAACTAGACTGTTCTTGCCCAAGGAAACACCAGCACAGCTGGAAATTGGTGGCGTATGAATGATTTCCTTTTTGTGTTCTGGATACATATAACCCTTGATTGTCAACCTAGTAAAAACTTACTAATTTGGTGTCTCAAATTCACAGACACAGGAATTCTATGTGTGCATTTACGCAGCACGTGAGGGGGACTATGTGCTATTCTACCACCAAGGTGGTGTGGATGTGGGAGATGTTGATGCCAAGGCTCAGAAACTGTTGGTGCGTGTGGATGAGAAGCTGGATGAATCTGATGTCAAGAAGCATCTCTTGGTGCACGCTCCACTGGACAAGAAAGAGTAATTCTGAGACATTTCTTTGTTTTGTGCTAACTTTGGGTTATGATCAGGAAGGTGCTTTATGGTGCTGTTGTGCTTAAATAACCAAATAGTATCAGATAGTCCAGGGTGATGTGTATCTCCTAGCTCACAGTAAGAAACCTGTATGAAGTCATCTGAGGATATTTCAAAGGTCTCCTCTGCTTAGCCTCTGTATAATGAACAGAAGCATTCTGGACTGGTCTCACTGTGAAGGAACATGAAGGAATTGCTTTAGGTGGAAGACTTCAGAGAAGTCATGGTCTTCCTCTAAAATCCACCAGATGCTCACACATGAGCTTCAGAGCAGGACTTCCTAGGATGAAACACTGCTTCCAAGTAGACCTGAGAGAAGGGGATCTATGTTTTGTGTTTATGTGGTATTAAGGCCCACCTGTGCCCCAGCATTTCTCAACATCTAAGTACCTATACCTTAATATTTGCAAAAGGTAGTTCTTTGCTATTTCTTTCTCTTATGTCTTGTGATCTCTGGTGTGTGCATATTGGATGTACATGTTGGTGGGTTTAAGGGGGACCTCTTTTTTAAGTGACATTTAAGATACAGAATAAATGAACTTCAGGAACATGTCAAGGGCAGTTAATCACTGTCTCTGAGTCTGACTCATTCATGACTGGATCTCTGAGTCATCAGTTGGACCAAAGGCAGACCAAAGGGCTATTGATAGAGATATAGAACAGGCCAAGTGTGGATGGCAGGTGCCTTGCTACATGCCTGCTTTTTTAATTAATTAAAATGTTTGTAGGTTTTTCCACTCAGTGTCTTGTGCATTTTTTTCTGTAGTGTCTTGGCAAGCTTCATCTCTGGTCTGTTTAATCTTTATGAAGACTTATACTTCACATACCTGGAAATCAATCCACTAGGTAACTTCTGTATTTTGTTGGGGGATCGGTTCCGTTTCATTCTATATTCTGCAATGTGGAATAGAAAATGAAGATGAATGCATGGAGTAATTTAAATGAGTCCTCCTTCATGAATTAGGAATGCAGAACATACCTGTCATTCTTTAAGAATGCTGACACAAATTAACTTCTTCAGAAATTAATTCTGACATCAGGCTCTAGAAGAATGCTAAATACAAAGACTTCCAACAGTACAAAAGAACCAGGTGTGACTTTCCACATATCATTATTTTTCTCTTGTTTATGTGTTTCAAATAGCAGCAAAATATTATTCTTCCTGCTGTTTTTACAAAAGAGAGAGAGGGATGATGCCTTGTTCGATATAGCACCTGGTATGGTCCTAAAAGATCCTGCATCAAAATAGGTGCTTTTTCTCTTTCATATGTGGTGTTTTCACTCCCCCACTGCATTGTCCCCACAACAATTCTGACGTATAAATTTGGCTGAGAATTGATGCACTTGCTTCTAGTGCATTCCAGCCTTCATGTTCTCAATGAGTGGCCACATGAGAAGGACACTCAGGGTGGATGTTCTTGAAGGACACCCAAGGCACAACTGTATAGACAAAAGTTGTCCTTCAGATAACCTGGTCCTAAGCTATTAAGGGGCTTATTAAGTACCACCCAAAGTAGGCACCAAAAATTAGGTTTCCCACTGTAATTGCATGATTGTACCCTTTTCTTTAGGATATCAAATATATTTGAATTTTACATATGTTCATAAATCTGTGCTGTACATTTCTGCATCAAGCTGACTAATTTAGAGAGCATCACATAATGAGTGCTTTTCTCTGTTAGCAGCAGCTGAGCAACAGTTCACTTTTACCTGATCCTTTTTCTTTTTTTCTCCCTTCAAATAAAGTTGTAACTTCAGATGGTGTTTACGTACTAGACCTGGCTGCAAAGATAGACGTGACAGCTGACTACCTCTGCAAAGTGAAATGGGGTGATGTTGAATTCCCTCCTCCCTTTGGAAGAGAGGCTTATCCAGAGGCAAGTGAAAGGACTTCTTTTGGTATGGTGTTTAAGAATTAGATTCCCTAAACCAGGCGTGAACAACTTCAGGAGGTTTGGAAGCCATTTTTGATTCCCGAACCTCCCTTTGCAGGCCGCCTCCACAGTCCAAAATCTGTCTCTTATGTTCAGCAGAATGTTGCCAGCCAGCATCTTACATCTGGGCATTTTAAAAAGCTTAATAATTGTAATGATGCATAAACAAGAGTCATAGTCTATTTGTCTGTGTTTTAAATTGTAGCCTGGCCAAGAAATCCATTTAGATATTCTTTTCATTTGATTTTTCCCTCTCTCCTAACTATATGCTATGGTTCAGTTGCTGATGTTTAATCCAATTTGGCAAGTCTTCTAATGAATGAATTTTAATCATAGCTTCATTGTATCATCCCTTCCCCCACCTCCCCCCATCACGCACTAGAAAGGGCTCTTAAGAATTTTAATGAATGTAGGCCTCACTTCTGGAAGAACTGAAATGAAAGTGTGGTTTGAGGAATCTCCCATAGGAAGTTTTATAAACCAAGTTCTGTTCCCTTACAAGTAACTTTTATCAGTCCTTTTTTTTTTTTTTGATTGGGCATGTCAGTCTCTCTTGTAGTGGTTGTGGTGATTTGATAGCACTGAAACTGAGGTAGGAAGAACCTTCTCCTCCCACTTCCCCTCACCCCTGCCTTTCTGGTGTTCTGTAGCATTCTTTGAACCCCAGGATTCTTTGAATCCCAGGTAGGCCTGCTTCTTTCTCCTGTTCTTTCAGATTATATATTTGTACCATAAAATTCAAAATGGTTTGAAGTGGAACAAGGGCTGGACCCACTTCTAAAAAAATCTCTCCTGTCACTATAAAAAAAGATCCTGGGTGCAAGTGACGTTATCTTCATTATTCTCAGTGCCTACAAATAGCACATGCATCCAGAGTCTGTATGCTGCTGGAGTTGGAGTATATTCTTGCTCAGGAACTCCTCAGATCTGATGCCAGTTCTGTAGGGTAGTTTACAGTATTTATGTCAAGGTTCTCCACAAGGAATTCAGAGGAGGGGGTTGACGATTCTTTGGAAAGGATTTCTAGCCCTTCACAATTCCTATGGTCTCTTGGGTGGGAGAGGATCCATGGCAGTTGCCTTGCCTTCTGGCCTCAGAATGTGGGACTAGATAGTGTAGGCTTCCAAATCCATGTTTGGTAACATGCATGAGTGGGCACCTTTGCAGGGGTAACGGGTGGGAGAGAGCTGAGTATAATGTTATCCACCTCCTCTATACAGAGAGAGAGAGACAGAGAGACAGAGAGAGAGAGAGAGATTTCCCTTTCTTCTGTAGATGCCATGCCTGTGAGACTGAGTGCCTTCCTCCACTTGGGACTTCCCTCCACCCAGACATACATCTGGTTTTGTGGTGTAGCTGGGATGGGATATTGATTTGCAGGGGGAAATTTGTGTATGTAGAGGAAGAATTATGCATCCCTTCCTTCTAGCTCTCCCCTACAAATACTCCTGGGTATTCAGTCTGATGAATGTTGATTCTAATTTTATTTGGACTCTTGTCTGCAGGAAGCCTATATTGCGGATCTAGATGCCAAGAGTGGTGCCAGCTTAAAACTGACAATTTTGAATCCCAAGGGCCGGATCTGGACCATGGTGGCTGGAGGTGGTGCTTCTGTGGTCTACAGGTACCAAATTCAGGATCTCTGGGAGTGGTCTAGTAGTTACATAGTATGAGAAGAAGTGTGGCCTTGCATAACCACACTGTCAAAATATATGCATTGTTCGTCCTGAACTCCCAGAAATCCATAATTCAATTAACTGTCACTCATTCTTCCTTGCCTAATCATCTTGCTCCTATTAAACTGTCTGAGAAATGAAACTTGAGATAGAGGTTTTCAGGAAACATGTATTTTCAGATACATCTCTTCTCTTCTCACTCTTTCCGGCATGGCACTTTTCATGTTTAGGCATGTTTGCTGATTCTGAAATGATGCTTAGGGTGGCATTTGGACAATGCAATGTTTCTGTTTTTGCTAGTGCCCTTGTGCTTCCAGGACAGTTTAGAACTGCTTATCTGTGAACATAACACCATACAAACACACAATCTAATAATATTTATTTATTTAGGATATTTATATGCTGTCCTATTGCAAAAGCCTCAGGATGGCTTACATAAATAGAATACAAATATCAACATAAATAAATTATTGACCCACTCTGGCTACAGTTAAACTATAATAGTAAAGAATACAATATTAAAACTTATTAAAATATTGATGAAATAAAAAGGTCTTAACCTGGTGCCGAAAAACATATAATGATGGCGCCAGGCAGACCTCTCTGGGGAGTGCATTCCATAGTCAGGGTGCCACCGCAGAGAAGGCCCTCCTCCGGGTGCTCTGCCTCCTAATATCTTTCACAGCGGGTTCCCGGAGGAGGGCTTCTGCTGCCGATCTCATGGGGCGGGAGGGCAAATAGGGAAGAAGACGTTCCTTTAAGTATCCAGGTCCCAAGCCATTTAGGGCTTTATAGGTAATAACCAGCACCTTGAATTGAGCCCGGACTTCAATGGGAAGCCAGTGGAGCTGATAGAGGACTGGGGTTATGTGAGAGTAATGCCCAGTCCCCGTCAGCATCCTGGCAGCTCTGTTTTGCACCATCTGAAGTATCCGGACTGTCTTCAAGGGCAGCCCCATGTAAAGAGCATTACAGAAATCCAACCGGGAAGTAACCAATGCATGTGTCACTGTTGCTAGGCAATCTTCCTCCAGGTAGGGACGCAACTGATGGATTAGCCGAAGCTGAAGGAAGGCGCTCCTCACACCGCAGTCACTTGAGCTTCCAAGGACAGCTCCGGGTCAAGGAGCACTCTTGTCCGTTAGAGGGAGTGCAACCCCATCCAGGGCAAGGCCCAAGTCACCTACCCAGGAGCTCGAATCACCCACCAACAGGACCTCCGTCTTGTCTGGATTGAGTTTCAGTTTATTGGCCCTCATCCAGCTCATTACCTCGACCAGGCACCGGTTCAATACAGCTACTGCCTCACCTGGGTTGGTTGAAAAAGAGAAGTAGAGCTGGGTGTCATCAGCATACTGATGACTCCGCAGCCCAAACCTCCTGATGACCTCTCCCAGCGGTTTCATGTAGATATTAAATAGCAAGGGGGACAAAATGGAACCCTGCAGAACTCCATGGCATAATTGCCATGGTGCAGAACCAAAGTCCCCCAGCACCACCTTCTGGAATCGGCCGTCAAGGTAGGAGTGGAACCACTGCCAAGCAGTGCCTCCTAGTCCTAGTCCCGCCAGCCTATCCAGGAGGATACCATGGTCGATGGTATCGAAAGCCACTGAGAGGTCCAGGAGAACCAACAGGGACGCACTCCCCTGTCTCTCTCCCTGCACAGGTCATCATACAGGGCGACCAAGGCAGATTCAGTACCATACCCGGGTCTGAAGCCGGACTGAAATGGGTCCAGATAATCAGTTTCATCCAAGAGTGCTTGGAGTTGTCCCGCTACCACCCGTTCCAACACCTTGCCCAAAAACGGGATGTTGGCCACAGGTCTTTAATTGGTGACCATCTCTGGATCCAGAGACACCTTCTTTAGGACAGGCCTGATTATTGCCTCCTTTAAAGGAGTGGGCAACCGGCCGTCCCTCAGAGAGGCATTAATAACCTCCAGGATCTAGGAACCAATCCTGTGTTTGGCTTTGGTCAGCAGCCAGGAAGGGCAAGGGTCGAGTAAGCAGGTGGTAGGACATACTTGTCCAAGCACCTTGTCCACATCATTGGACTTCAGTAACTGAAATTAATCCATTAATAATAATCTGATACCTGTCTTGCAATCCTGAATATCTCTGCTTTCTTCACATTGCTTTTAGACCTCTGTTTGTAGTCCTCATGGCTTGTGTAGTGTAGTGAGAACTGACAAAAGGCTAGGTTTTCAGAGTTCTGCAGGTAAGTTTCAGTGTACAGCATGGCTCCATATCCTGATGTTTGAAAGGCAGTGCAATTCTGCAGCAGTTCCTCCCAGCTGACAGTATGGAAGGGAAGAGCAACATCTAGTTCATTTCCAAACACTGTACATGTTTTGTCAAAGCATGGTTCATACCTTTAAACACATGTCTGTAAAAAGATTCTTTATGAGAAAGAGACATTTCCAATCCCTGCTTATTTTCAACAATTTTTCCCAAAGAAAATTTCTGTTCATTAAATCAGAACCAACTTTTAGTTCAATAAATGTAGCAGAGTGCTGCTCACCAATCCACAGTATATTCGAATATCAAATTGGACAAGTTGAAGCAAGTGTCAATGCCAGACCTTCCATGTCTAAAGCCGGCCTGTTTTTCCATTATGAAATTTTGTTCTCCCTGATCTTCTAATTTCAGAGAAAAGTAGCACATATTTTTGCAGATACAGCAATTAACACAATAAGTCCATCATTTCTGGGATCCCATCAATTTCCTTTTTTGAATCATGGAAATGCAATACTAAGCTTCCAGATGTTAGGGATACAACTTGCATTATTTATATGAGTTACCAGGACAGCAAAAACGGTATTCCACTCATTTACATTACTTTGAAGAGCCCAGGTGACATAAAATCCTAATCTGGTGCCTCATCATTCCATAATGACTGCATAAGGGGCTTTCTTTTCTGCATAGTAACATGAACCCATATGGGAAATCTCTCTGCCAAGTCACAACCCTGTGCTGTTATACAATGAATGAGCATTTTAGCAACTGTAGTGGGATTTTCTGACTCATAAGAACTTAGCTGATTTTCTTGCTTCTGCTCTGTTTGTCACCCCAGAGTAGAGTACAATGCAGCCTAATTCTCAGTCCACTTTACATGAGGGTTTTTGAACATCCATGGGTCTCCAGATTAATCTCTCTAACATCATTTATGTGCCTTCCACTTAGTGACACCATCTGTGACCTTGGTGGGGTAAATGAACTGGCCAACTATGGTGAATACTCTGGAGCTCCCAGTGAACAGCAAACCTATGATTATGCCAAGACCATCCTCTCCCTCATGACACGGGAAAAGCACCCAGAAGGTAATGGAGGAAGGTGCAGGAATTCTTTCTTGGTGGGCTTCTGCATGCCTTCCTGCTGTGGCTTGTGAGCAGGTTGATGCTGCAGCCAGGGTTCCTCTAACATCCATGGGTGACATGGTGCATATGTGCAGGAAATCTGAACCAGTGCTGGACTGATCAGGGAAAAGGAAGTGATAGCAAGCAAGCAAGAAACAGATGAGAATGGGGAGAAAGCAGGAAGGAGGACATGCAAAAATAGAGAACTGAGGGTTAGGAGAGTGAAGAGAAGGAAGCAAGAGTGAGAGCAAAGGAAAGAGGAAGACCTCATGTCTGACCAGGGGCTGCTCCTGCCTGATACTGGGAAGATTGTGGCCTTCTAGCCTCACTACCTGCCATTCTGGAGCTTTCTGTGCTGACCCCTGTCTGGCAGATCCTAGCCTCAACCAGACCTCACAGAGTATTTACCGTGACAGTTCTCCATTGTTCCCACCAAAGGCTTTGTCCTGTCATGCCTCAGTGAAGCATTATAGGCATTGTGGCTGGTTTGTTTTGGGAAGATATCCTCCCAGCCTGACAATGCTGTTACAGTTGGTGATGATGAGTGACTGGGTTGATGCAAGGGCTGTCAAAACACACACAGGAGCATTTCCTAGACAGTTGGATGGAACCATGCTGGCAGTCACTATATGCACATTGGTTAAAGTGAATTATTACTGTGTTGAAGTATCCTCCCTATCAGCTGCTCCAGACCCAGGACTGCATTCCAGTTTTCTTACCAAGCTGCTTCTTTCTTGTTTTTTTTCCCCTCCACAAGGCAAAATCCTGATCATCGGAGGGAGTATTGCTAATTTTACCAATGTGGCTGCCACCTTTAAGGTAAAAATGATCCTGAGACAATACCCGCATGTATGTTTATGATCAGCTGCTTGCACTAGACTTGAAAGAAACACTGTTATTGTACTTAGGTCATCACAGGGTTGAAGTGGATTGCTCTGTCTCCTTTTCTGTCATTGTAATTATCATGCACTGGCAAAACCAATTTGTCCTTGTGCCTTTCCCCCATCCCCAGCCCTGTTTTGAGTCAAAGCAAGGTGGGGGTGAGGGGAAAAGGACCCAGCGCAGTAGGGCAGGGCAGGAAAATGGCTGCAGTTGTGAGCAGCGGTGACATGGAAATCTTTTGTAGGTTTGACAGCAGAAGTGAACCAACCCAAATTGGCCTCAATTCCTAATCAGCACTGAAGCTCAGGATAGGGCTCTTGCCTGGAAATCTTAATAGAGATGAGGCATTGGAGTACTGAGCAGTAGATGCTGTACCTATTGCAGAAAGAAGTGTCACATCCACTGCTGGGCACAGTGCAGTGGTGCACATAACTTTGCTTCCCAAGTTAAATGGAAAATGTAAAGATCAGATGCTTTGCTTTAGGCAAAACTGTTTATTCAGCCAGCCAAGAGACATGTAACCATGCAGGGGGATAGTTATTGAAAGCCAGCATTGCCTCCCCCTCTGCAAACACTCAGAAACTGAATGAAGCGAAAGGATATGCTGGTTTTAACTGCAGAAGAGATCAGCAACAAAATCTGTGCAGACACTTAAAAGCTTTCTACATGACTTTTGGTTGTCTGCCTCAGCCCCAAGTTTTCAGCCATGTCCTGGTTTTGCAACAGTTTGGGCTTTCTTAAAGGGCACTGCACATGCTACAAACTAAGCCCCTGTAACTATCACAGTGTCCTACAGCAGCTTCCTGAGAATTGTCACCTTGTGAAAGTGCCGAGAACTGGAACCTCATCAGCACACAACTGCAATTTTCAAGGTTGCTTATTATGGGATGGGGAGGGGGGAACCAAAACAACTAATTTTAAGTTTGTCTGATAGAAATGATCTTTAGAAGAAGGCAAAGATAAACTATGTATTCATTAGAATTATATTCCACCTCTTTTCCTTACAGGAACTCTGGGCAGCTTACATCATTCTCCTCCTCTTGCTCTCAGTCTTATTCCCACAACAACCACCCTGTGAAGAGGGTCTGAGAGTCTGGGACTGGCCCAAAGTCTCCCAGTTGGCTCCATGGCTGAGCAGGCATGAGAACATAAATCATCCGAGTCCCAGTCCCATGCTCTTAACCACTACACTACACTGGTTCTTAACAGAATGGGAAGAAAGAAGTACTTATGCATATGTGCACTCTTATTTTTAAAAAATGTGCTTTGTTGCAGGGCATTGTTCGTGCCATTAAAGATTATCAGGGCCCTTTGAAAGAGCATGAGGTGAGGATCTTTGTGAGGAGAGGAGGCCCAAACTATCAAGAAGGCTTGCGTGTCATGGGGGAAGTAGGTAAGAAGGTTCCCACCAATTGTTTGAATTTAGTTTCTTTCCTTTCATTTGTTGCTCCTTTATAAACTTGACTGTGGAGTCTCATTAAAGAGAGTGAAAGCTGGCAACGCAGGGTACCATCAGGCCCTCTGGCAGGGCTGAGATAAAGGGCCACCCATGTATCAGTCCATCCCTCTGTCCATCCATGAGCCCAGATACATGCTTTTCAGCTTGCTTTTCCCATTTGAACTGCAAGGGATGCTCTGTCAGAGCATTTCTGTTCCAAATGTCGGGGGAATTGAAGGAACAATTGAGTTGCATAAATGGAGAAGTTCAGGCAGAAAAAGGGCCTGGTAGGAAAGAGTGACAACAACAGGCAGTGTCCATGGTGGCCATAAGTCAGTGAGCCCCTCAATTCAAAATGTGGCCTTGTTTAAAAAACATTGTCTGACTGGGGCATTAAAGGCTTGGTTGACTTTGCATTTTCCATCCTGTGGTGGACAGTGTTTTGCATGATTTAAATGTGAGGCCTCAGCCATGTTCACAAGCTGGATTAAATGGAGATAATGTGTTGTCATCTTCACTATTTTCTGTGCTGAATTTCCTTATGACCTCACTGTTTACCATTCTCCCCACCACCACTGCATGTACTGTAAAAAAAACCCTGAAACGCTCCATAGTACTCAATGCACCTGATAAAGAGGACTAGAGTCCATGAAAACTTGTTGCAAAATAAATGCCTTTAAGGTGCCGCAAGACTCTTTCCTGTTCTTGCTGCAATAGACTAACACAACTACCCTCTGGAAATTACAAGCAGAGAAGAAAGCATCTCTGAATAAGGCCTGTCACGAAGGGGTATGGAGAATTGGTTAGCAATACTTTAGATACAGAATTCCCCCAGCTAAAGTGGGGAGCTGTACTCATAAAAATATCACAAGATGATGCCAAAGAAATGGATGACTTAAACTCTGGGTTCTGCTTGTGCCCTCCAAAGAATGCAATTATTTTGTTCAAGGACATCTGACCATCTCTCATCAAGTCATCAGTAAATCTAGATGGTGCTGCATTTTGGATGGAGAAGCATCTGATTTGACTAAACTGATACAGAATGTTCAATCGCTCTGTGAAAAAAGCAATTCTCATTGCTGTAGGACAGGGAAAGTTGCCAGTTGTGCTGGGATTGAAATATCACATGAGGCCGTTTGAGAAGAGATCCAAGGACATAGCAAAGCCAAGGAACTTGGAACTCTGAGTCAAGGCATTTGGAGGAAGGCTATAACACAAGCAGGGCACTCAGAAAGGGGAAATGGGGAATGATGCTTGTGGAAAGGGCAGAGCTGGAGAATGAAGGGAACAAATTGAAGACGGTACTCCACAGAAATGTCACAGTACTTAAAGTCATGAGGGCATGTATGCTATGTGGCAAAGAAGCGATGAAAAAGCTGAGAGAGAAAACAGTGTCCTGGAAAGCAAGAACCTGAGAAAACAGGTGTTGAAGGGTTACACCTGAAAAAAGGGGAAGAGTTAATAAGAAAGTATGGCTAGAATATAGCCAGGATTGTGCAGTCTTGTCTGAATCTCAGCAAGGTCTTAGATCTGTCTTACAGCAGAAGAACTCAGAGCAATCTACAAGGGGCAGCATTTGCTGGACTGTACTGATTCAAACTGCAACAGGAACTGGAAGGCTTGCCTGTTTAAATTATTCCCTATTCATATATATTCTCTGCCCATGCAAAACTAACACACTGAGAAAACTGGAGCATTTGCACATGGCAATTTCCCCTCTCACTCCCAACCTAAAATGCATCTCATGACTGTTCTGATGAGGTGGTTCCCTGCAGTCAGAATCTTAAACTTGGGGACTGGGTCAGATTTGATAGCTCTGGGCTTCCAGTTTCCCAGTTTCACATTTATTAAGGTCAAGCAGATACAGGAGTTTTCAGTTTGTCAGTTTTCTGGTGAAGCACAAGTGCTAAACATGCAACACTGATAAAGGTGCTAGCAAATTTTACGCAGGATGTGCTGCAGAATGGTTGAAGGGGCCATTCCCACTTTTGCCATATGAGCTGCCAGGTTTTTAACTGCGACTGCATTAAGATGGCTACTCTGCCCTAACCACTTCCTTTCCTGTAATACTGTTGCCATTCAGAACCTCCTGATTCTGTCATTAGTAAATACAGATGTAAGATGGGGCATCTTTGTCCTATCACATCTGCAGGTTGAGCCTTCAAAGGTTGACTGAAACCTGATCTGTTTCTGTTCTTTGTGTGTTTAGGAAAAACTACTGGCATTCCTATTCATGTCTTTGGTACGGAGACTCATATGACTGCTATTGTTGGCATGGCCCTCGGACACCGACCCATTCCAAACCAGCCTCCCACAGCAGCCCACACTGCAAACTTTCTCCTAAATGCCAGTGGCAGCTCTTCAGTAAGTCTTTCTTGCACATCAGTGCATGTTTGGTTCACCACATAGAGGATGACAAGGAGAGGAACCCTGGCCTAGCTTCCCTGGTGTGCTAGCCTTCTTTGTATGGAGGAGCATTCAATAACGTGGTCCTCCCACCTACCATCTGAGGTGATCCAGTCCAAAGAAGATATGACCACCTCAATGAAAACTAAGTTTGTGTCTGTAGAACAGCAGGGAGAGCCCTCATATGACTCATTTGGTGTTTTGGTGCTCTATATTCTCATAACATGCAGGAAAATGTAGTTCAAGCAAAATAAACAAATACATGCAGGATATGTTAACCTGTAAATTGCATAGTGGTTGCCATTTCAAATCAATTTATTCTTGCTTTGTTGTCTTGAATGTAAGAAGGTTTTGGAATGTAGCACTTTCTCCTAAACAGTCTGAATTTTCCACCAAAATTCTTGCCTTCATTGAGGGACACAGACCAATACAATCCTGTAGCATTTATTTGCTTGATTTATACCCCATCTGTCTACCAAAAAATGACACTCAAGTCAGTTCAGTGGCATGCCTTCTGCCATGTCTCTGTTTCTAACACTGGTCTCTGGCTTCTCTCCTTTCCTTCAGACCCCAGCACCAAGCAGAACGGCATCTTTTTCTGAGTGTAAACCTGATGAATTTGCTCCAGCTAAGAAGGCAAAGCAAACAGCACCATCTGGTAAGCTCTAGGTTTATGTTGGTTTGCTAATTTTCTGCTCTATTGGAGTATTTTCCTCCTCAGTTTCCAGCTGCTTCTGTGCCGTTCTTCAGCCTGTTCAGGTAATCTGGATGAGATATAATACCATGTGGAACAGGGAGGAGAAGCTGGATTAGGTGGGTTGAGTGTTAACTAGGGATAGTGCATGAAATGTGACTGTCTGACAGTTTCCAAAGGGTATCTCAAATAAGATACATGTTCATCTTATAATCTGTTGTGCGTGGGACAAAAGGGATGGTTTTAAAAACACAGGAAAGGCAAATTTACATTGAACAGCAGAGAAAGCCCCCCTAAAGCAGAGAGGCAGCTACAAATCAGAGCCTTCCATCCACCAGAGGCCCCCTTTTCAGTATAAGAGTATGCATGCTCTGTGCACATAGTTGCATCCGTGTAGCCTATTGCTGCAAGTATGAGGTCATATGGAGTGAAGCAGGGTTTGCCGCTTCCATGGCTAACCTAGCAGTTTTGATGCCTGCAATGCAAACCTCTGCTTTTGGGAGTCACTGAGGAAGTTTTACCTGCCGAGGGTGGTTCTTTCCCTGGAAACTTATGCCTCCATTGGCACCACAAGAGTATTGTGCATCCCTGGTGCAGACTGTCCTACAGGTTGAGAACTGTTGATTTTTGAGGGGAGAGTAGGTCATAGTGGAATATGTAATGGCTGATTCTTTGAGGCCATTTTATGCCAAGACATCTCCTTTTCCCCTGCCCAGTAAGATCCCAAGGAATCCCAGGGCTCCTTGAAATAAAATGTGAAAGCCAGTATATTAAGTTGAAAACATAGCTGCCCA